CGACCCACTGGCTGTGAACATTCTAAACTAACACGAGTCTCATTAAGTGTCCAGTTTAAGGGTATTGCACAGAAACACACCAAAGGAACATGAATCAAATATGTACTTTATTCATTTACAATAAACTCATAATGTACATCATTCTGATTGAAGCTAAGGGCATACAAAAACTGTCTAACATTGACCCCCGCTAAGGATCTCACTGATTGGCATATCAAAGACAGCCCAATACGACACTTAGTGCAGTATCATAATCGAGTCTAGGGGTCAGGTGTAATTTTCCATTTTTGCCCATCAATCTCCAAGGTCCAGGGCAATACTGCAAATCTGGTCCGATTCAAAGATTCAATTAATCCTACATTGCATGTGCCTTGGGTCTCACCCTGACAGCTGAGATAGGCCACCCCAACAATTGGCAGCACACCAGTGTCAGCCTTGGCAGAATAAATCTCCCCAGACTTATCCAACGGCTGTGAACATTCTAAACTAACACGAGTCTCATAAGTGTCTAATTTAAGGGTATTACACAGAAACACACCACAAGAACATGAATCAAATATGTACTTTATTCATTTACAATAAATTCATAATGTACATCATTCTGATTGGAGCTAAGGGCATGCAACTGTCTAACACGACCATCCATCAGATAGATTCTAACCCTATTCCAACACATAGTCCATCACTTAGGATTTCGTTAGCTTTAATTTCTATAGCAAATAATTAGTTTTTAGTTCATGTATCCTCCACTCACTTGTTTCAATGATAGATTATGACTTGCATGATTTACCTAGCTATTTGAACATTCTCTCTTCATTTGATATTGTCATTTCTTTAGTTTATTTCTTTTAGTAGTTTTAATATTATTTGTCCATTACTATTTAAGTGGGTTCTAATTTTTAAGGCCCAAAATTATTAAAAATCATCCTTGGAACATTGGTGAAGTAGAGACTGGTATAACCGGGCGTGTAGGGTGCCTAACACCTTTCCTCACTTTACCTTGGTCCCTGGACCCATCAAATCTATATCCCCATTGGGCAACGAGTCACCAAGAAAACAAAATGTTTTCTTGAAAATTTTCTAGAACATGGAATTATTTAATAAACCTTCAAGAAATCATCAAAAGAAGTATAGTTGCACACTTAGGCTGTGTTTGGTTTGAAATAAAAGGAACAGAAAGGAAGGGAAACCTATTTTATATGAGCCACTGCTGCCACTGTTTAAATTTGCATGAGCTTAAAATTTCCCTTCCTTTTAGTAGGAGAAAATTAAGAGACTTTAATAAGTATCCTTTTCTTCATTCCCCTTTTAGTTTTTTTATCCATCTTCTCTTCATTAAATATGCCACTTTCCATATTTTAGGAAAATATTTTAATAAATTTATAAACAATAGCAAAGAACTTTATAAGTCAAATAGGATAAAACTATGAGACTTTAATAAGTTCCTTATCAAATCACCAATTCCTCATTGGTTCTTTTAGGAAAATATTTAAAAAAATATGAGAATTTAAAAAAAAAATGAAAAGTTTTTAATAATATTCTAAAGTTTTAAACCAAACATATAATTTATCAATGAAATTAAAACATCACTGACATCCAAAAATTTTGGAGATATTTGGAAAAAATAAGATTCCCAAAAAACTTTGCATCGTCACCTAGAAAAAGGGGGATATTCAAGGGAAATTTCACCAAATATTGCCAATATTCAAACCATGCTTAATCCACAATGCAAATGGAAGGAAAATGATAAAAGAGTAAAAACAAAAAAAAATCAGGATGCGAACTCAAATCATTTACACTCGTACTTTTGCATCACCGCAAATGAAATTGCACAGCAAACAAACAAGGCCTATATAGCATAATATGTAGCAATATTTGTCTTTTAGGAAATGAATAAACAATTAAAATTTTTCATTTCAATATTACCGACTCGTGATGGTTCAGTTAGTAAGTTCTCTGGCAAGTTGGAGCAGAGACATGGGATCAAATCCTGTTGCCTCGTGGGTTGGGGAGATTATGGATTTGGGGGATGGCTATCCTTCATTGTGTGGCCCCTTGAAAAAAGAAGTTCTAGGTCTGATACCCAGAGAACCCTACAGACTACAGGATCTACAGGTTTTTTTTTCCTGCTTTCCAAGTTTCGAAATATGATAAATCTTTGCTATCGTTCAATGTTGCATATTGGGTGTTGCTATGAGGTGATACAAAAACTCTACTTTGGGGCTAACATTGACCAATAACCAGTAAATAAACATCTTGTAACTGAATCCTTTCAGATACTCTTACTGTTTTGCCCTATGAAACCAGTCAAGTAGAAATCATCCCTTGTGTGTCTACTCCATTAGATTAAAACCTAATTCAACTTCCCTTTTGTCCCATTTTAATAGATTTGCACTACAGTAATTCTTCTCAAATTCCCACTTTCTTGTGCTTGGGTTTTTGTTAAGTATTCTGTGTGTATTGATAAAGGTCCTCTCGATCTTTAACCAGCAATTTAGATCCTTTAACTTGAATCCTAACATGACATTGCCCTAGTCATATAATACTTGTACCATTCAATATAAACCCTAGACGAACCAAATTTCATGGTTGTACATGCTTTCCTAGACTTTCATAAACCACATTTGTTAAAAATAGTCTGTCAGACCTCAAGGAAGCATCAATAACATAATTCAACATTAAATGAGCTTCTTTAACTAGTTGTTAATTTCTTTAAATTATGAAAATTTTCCTCAACTCTCAAGTCTGAATTTCAATTAAAAAAATGAAAGACTTTTTCTACATTTATGTTACGTATCCAGTGGCATTTTTCATTATCAATCCAATAAATACAGTACATACCTCCTTCCAAGGGCTTGCAAATAATTTTGTATATTTCCAATCAGTAATGCAAAAAGTAAGAGGCCAAGTCCAATAATTGCCATGGTAAAAAGAACTTCCCATTCAAAATCACTAGGAACTTGGTTTCCGGCAAGCGTGCTGATTTGCTAATGCATTACCACCAAAAACGAAAACATAGTTCCAATTAGTAGTATGTGCGATAAATAGTCAAATGGCAAATAACAAAATTCTAGGTAAGTAATATTTAGAAAAAAACACTCTACTCATTCAGACAACTTTATGTTTCAAACCATCAAACAAATATAAGAAACTAAGGTTAATAAACAAAATAATATGCTGCAAATTTGTACAATGAACTTAGTCAAAACTACATGATAGAGTGAGCTCAAGTAACATATGAACCTCATAGAAATGTGCAAATTATTCTAATAGATCAACCAAACAATCTGTTACACAAAAAAAAGCTAAAACATTAACCTGGTCTAAACACATAAACAGACATATGAAACTAACACAAACCGTATAGATGACCCAATCTGTCAACAGTATTTATTGCTAACAACTAGCTTAAACCAAGGTTCAAAATATTAACTCGATATGCCTGATACAGGGTGTATCATATCAGTATCCAAAGGCATGGGTACATGGCTTACATGGAAAATATCAAAATAATGCAGTATAAAGGGACTTGTTCCTGGTCTTCAACTTTTAGTGAGTTGTAGAAACTAGGGTTTCAAGAGAGAGGAAGAAGAGAAGAGAAGAGAAGAGAAGAAGAAGGGGAAGAAGAGAGCTAAGTGCCGAGAGGAGTGTGTTTTCATTGTTCACACCCTCAAAAGAATACATTATAATCTGAGAAAATAATAATTACAAGAAGGCCCCTATATGGGTGCCCAAATACTAAGAGAGTATAAGAAAGGAGAAAAAAACCAAGAACACCCCTGTCTAGCCATTCTCAACACTCCTCCTCAAGCTGAGCATATATGTGAATCATGCCCAGCTTGGCAAGGTTCTTAGCAAACTTTGGATGGTGAACACCTTTAGTGAGGCAATCAGCTAGTTGGTCTTCTGACCTTACAAAAGGAAGGCAACTCCCTCCGCTAGCAATTCTTTCTCTAATAAAGTGTCTATCCACCTCAATATGCTTTGTACGATCATGTTGGACAGAATTTTGAGCAATATTTATGACTATTTGATTGTCACAATATAGTCTCATTGGAACATCTGCTTGGATGCCCATCTCAGTCAATAAGGTCTTCAACCAGAGTAGTTCAGACACTCCATGAGCCATTGCCCTGTACTTTGCCTCAACACTAGAACGAGCAACCACATATTGTTTCTCACTTCTCCAGGAAACCACATTGCCTCCAACTGAGGCACAATAATCGGATGCAGATCTTCTATCATCGATGGACCCTGCCCAATCAACATCTGTGTAAGCCTCAATCTTTAAATGGCCGTGGTTGGAATACAACATCCCTTTGCTAGGACATCCTTTCAGGTATGCTAAAATTCTGTTAATTGCCTGCATATGAGATGTCCTGGGTTCATGCATATATTGGCTAACCACTCCAACAGCATAGGAAATGTCAGGTCTAGTCAAACAAAGATACATAAGGCGTCCCACCAATCTCTGATATACCCCCTGTCTATAAGAACTTCTCCTTCAGTAGAGTTCAACTTGTGGTTGGGATCAATTGGAGTTTCTACAAGCTTTCACCCTAATTTCCCAACCTCATGAAGCAAATCAAGTACATATTTCCTTTGTGACAGAAAAATCCCCTTCTTGGATCTTGTAACTTCAATGCCAAGAATGTATCGGAGATCACCAAGGTCCTTAATCTCAAATTCAGAAGCAATGAATGACTTTAACTATGAGATACCTCTGATATCATCACCTGTCACAACAATGTCATCAACATATACTATCAACATTGTTACTCTACCTTCAACTCTTCTAATAAATAAGGTGTGGTCAGCCTAAGATTGAGAAAAAACAATCTTTAAAATGGCATTCCTGAACCTGTCAAACCATGCTCTTGGAGATTGTTTTAGCCCATACAAAGACTTTTTCAAGCGGCACACTTTTCCATCACTATTAGGAAAACTTACCCCAGGTGGTAAGTCCATATACACTTCCTCTTGTAAGTCCCCAATAAGGAAGGCATTCTTTACATCCATTTGATATAAAGGCCACGAGTAATGGGTAGAAAGAGACATGATCACACAAATAGAGTTCATTTTAGCAACTGGAGCAAAGGTTTCCAAATAATCAATGCCATAAGGCTGAGTGTATCCTTTGGCTACAAGCCGAGCATTGTATCTTTCAATTGAGCCATTTGCCTTATGCTTAATAGTATAAATCCACTTACACCCAACAGGAATCTTATCTTTGGGGCATGGAACACAAGTCTAATTCTTTATTAGGGCCTCCATTTCTTAGTTCATAGCTTCCTTCCAGAGTGAGCACTGCATTGCATCTGTAACATTGCGAGGGATGGAACCAGAAGATATAGGAGAAATATAGGCACAATAGGAAGGTGAAAGAGCATAAGACACATAGTTAGTGATAGGATAATTTTTGCATGTCCTCTTCCCTTTTCGAATGGCAATAGGAAGATCAAGGTTAAAATCAATAATAGGATTGTCAGGAGGTTCAAGATTACCTAAGTCCGGGGAATCAGATTGTGATGGGCATTCTGTTTCAGGAGCCACCCTCTTATTGTGCCTGATGAAAAATTGCTGCTAGGACCGAGGTCGATACACAGGAGGAAGAGGAGGAGGAGGAGAAGGAATAGCGGTAGGAAGAGAGGAAGGAATAGAGGTAGGTATAGGAAGGCAGAAGGGAGTCCAATCTTCATTTGTATTCTCCCCCTGAAGAGAAGGACGGGGTGACTGGAAAAAGGAAGAGGATTCCAAAAAGGTAACACCCTTAGGGACATATCTCTTGTTAGAGAGAGCATCATAACATCTATAGCCTTTCTGGACTGGAGAGTAACCAAAGAATACACACTTAACTGATTTAGGATCAAACTTGCACCGGGAATGACTCATATCATGAACAAAGCAAACACAACCAAAGACCTTAAGGGGTAGATTTAAAGGAGGTTCATCAGGGAAGAGTAGTTGATGAGGAGAATGAAGGTTAAGGACCCTTAATGGGAGTCTGTTAATGAGATATACAGTTGTCTCAATAGCATCACCCCAGAAAAGAGTTGGAACATGATTTTGGAACAATAAGCCTCGAGCAACTTCAACCACATGCCTATTTTTTCTTTCAGCCACCCCATTTTGTTGTGGAGTATGACTACATGAACTTTGGTGAATAGTTCCCCTGTCTTCAAGAAATCTATGCAAGTGATGTTCAAAGTATTCCTTGGCATTGCCAGATCTTATTATCTTAACTCTTTTCTCAAATTGTGTCTCGACCATATTCATGAAGTTTTCAACAATCATAGGAACTTCATCTCTACTTCTCATCAAATAAATCCATGTATACCGACTATAATCATCAATGAAGAGAATGAAATATCTGTACCCCCCCATACAGGGGACAGCATATGGGCCCCGAACATCAGTATGGATCAAGTGGAAAGCAACATTACTTCTTTTATTGCTTGCAAAATATGTGTTTCTATATTGTTTGGATAAATGACAAACTTCACATTCAAAATTCAATTTGGACATAGAATCAAACAAGTTTGGAAACAAAAATTTGACAGAATTGATAGACATATGACCAAGGTGACAATGCCATAATTTCAAAAGACTTGTTTTCTCATTGGAACAAGACTCTGTCTGGCTTGACAATCCATGCTCTAAAGGTCCATCCAGGAGGTAGATTCCATCCACTTCATGCCCACTTCCAATTGTCTTCCCTGTGCTTAGGTCCTAAAAAACACAATGGTTGAGAAAAAAGGTCACTAAGGAATTGTGGGATTTTGTTAAAGAACTAATAGACAATAAATTTTTTTGTAGCTGGGGCACATGTAGAACAAAGTCAAGAGAAAGGTTATTAGTGATTTTGACTTCACCCAACCCAAGATTGGGATCTGAGATCCATCGGCAATAGTAATCTTGCCCTTCCCAGGGTTAACTTATATGAGGTAAAATGTGAAGGCATACCAGTCATATGGGCATTGGCCCCAGAGTCTACAATCCATGGGCTAAAGGAGGTGGAACAAGCAAGTGCAGTACCTGTCTTGGCATATGAACTAGATAGATTACTAAGTCCAGAACCAGATGAGGAGGATGTACCACTCTTCTCTAGCTGCAACAATACATTCCTGAGTTTGTCCATCACATTAGAGGAGTTAATCACATCCGAGGGCATGAGCATCATTACCAACTGTAGCCAAGTGAGCATTGCCCTTCTTCCTAGTTTTGTACTTCTCCGGCTTTAGATGAGGATTGAGCTTCCAGCACCTTTCTTTAGTGTGTCTTGGTGTCTTGCAGTACTCACAAATAACATCCTCAACCTTCTCTGCAATGGGATGTTTGTTAGAATTTTGTTTGGGTCGTGATGACATAAAGGTAGAATGATCACTCACAGAGGATTGCATCATGACGGTTCTTTGACTTTCTTCCCCTTGTACAAGAGAGTAAGCAGTAGCAAGAGAGACAACGCCTGCACTAAGAATGTGTTGCCTGGTGAAATCAAACTCTGGGTTTAAGCCTGCCAAAAAATCAAAGACTCTATTCTCCTCTATGTACTTCCGATACTACTCACCATCCTCAGGGTCCTTCCAAACTAGAGATTTCAAGTTATCCATTTCTTCCCAAATAGACTGTAGAGAAGAGAAATACATAGCAACAAATCTCTCCCCTTGATGCATACTGCAAGCTTCCCTCCGAAGCTGATACACTCTAGAAGTATTGTTAACTTGGGAATCAGTAGCAACCACCCTATCCCAGATATCCTTGGCAGATGGAAGAAACATGTAATTTCGGGAAATATGAGGTTGCATTGAGCAAATCAGCCATGACATAACAAGGTAATTGTCTTGTTCCCACCTTGCAAGTTTCGGGTCTTCAGGACTCGACTTCACTTCCCTTCCTGTGATGAATCCCAATTTACCCCTCCCAGTAATGGTAAGTTTAGCAAACTGAGACCACTCTAAAAAGTTAGTTCCATCCAGTTTAACAGTAG